AGACTCTTTGTTTGCTAGAAAGTTTCAAAGAAATGAGTTCACAGCCCAAGGCTTCTTTTGAACCCAAGACACATAAAAGAGGAGGTAAGTAAGGACTTACTAACACCCTTGGGCATGCCACACTCCAAATGCCCACCAGTCCCCCTGGAACAGACTGCAACAACTCTGCAGTACTTTAAGGCTTTCAGAGGAAAAGAAAGACGGGACAGATTCTTCTCTCTCCCAATTTTCTAGCCCTTTTCCTCTGTAGACAACTGAGAGAAGCTCCAAATTGCGACTTCACCTTGTTTAAGTCATAAAAATTAACTGCATGATTTTAGGTTTTCTGTTTCAGCATAAAAAGATGGGGGAGAAATGACTGATTAAAGTAAGGGAGGAGGTTTATACATAGGTAGTGCTCTAAATTGCTTTTCAACTTCCCAAGTTCTTGCAACAAAGACATCAAGGGCTTTCCTTCTCTTCAAGTCCCCTTTACAAATGAAAAGTAAGACACAGGTAGGGGATACACAAAGGTGAGCCTGAATTTCTGCTTGTGGTCAATGCAAATCAGCAAATCACATCTGACAGAAACCATTCTCAGTCTGGGATCCTCAATTATTTAGTACCTTCTGTGACGTTCCATACAATTAAGAGCCCATTTATGGACTGCTTAGGACCATTCTAAGGCAGGGGAGGGGCTATGGAGGGAATGGGTGGAGGTAGGGAGGGGGAGGAGCTGAGTGTGTGCAGAAGTTGAGCCCCTGCATTTATTTACTTTTAAAAAATCAGCTTACAGCAAATTAGCTTTAAAAAGGAGCTTACAGACTAGTTGAGACAGACATAAATAGGTGATTGGAGTAATTCATGAATTACCACTTAAATTTATATCTTGACCTAAATGATTTCATTTTCTCTTGCCACTTCCTTTCTTCCTTTCCTTCTCTATTTTCCATGTCCTTTCTCTATGGGCACAATCTTTAGCCATTTGTTAAAGGAAAAATATAAAAGACACCACACACACACACAACTTCAAAGGACAGGAGAAGGGAGTATAATTTAAAAAAAGACCCTAACCAATCACACTTTCTACTATAAAAAGAGATTTCAGTGGGACCTTTAGAGCCTTTGAAAGTAGCATACCCATTAAAGTGCCAAAGCCGATCACATCACTGGAAGTGTTTCCCAAAGCCACTGATGGCAGCTGCCCCTCCCTTCCACCTGCAACATGGATCCTCTTCCCCAAGACAAAATCCTAAGCATGATATTCACCAAGTTCATTGTGACTGCTCCCATCTAATTGGCCTTTCTGGCATAGAAAGGACACTCACATGGCCTTGCTTCAAGCCCAACATGCCTTAAAGCAAACTCAATATTCCCAGGCCTCCACTGTCCACATCAGCAGCCTGCCCTCTCTTGTTCTGCTGGCCAGTACGGGAGTGCTGACTACAAGTCAGGCATAGGACGGGGCATGGGAGGCACACAAGGATTCTACAGTCTAGTTGAGGAATCATACAAACAGGTGCTTGCAGGCTTCCCTGACCTGCTCCTTGACCTAAATCATTTAGTTTCTCGCTCATTGCTTTCTTTTTCCATGCCCTTCATCTACACAGCCCTGCAGACGTCACATGTGGATTATTGTTAGTTTTTCTCTGGACACCTGAAAATGCTCTCTCTTCTACTCAGTCTCCTTTAACCTCCTCTTAGGACAGTCTTGCAAAAATAAACAAACAAACAAAACAAACAAAACCCACTGCTTTCATTTAATTCTCCTGAGGAGCCCACAAGGGCAAAGCCTAGCCTCCCACTCAGAACTCTGAGTAAGTCTGAGTGTCTCTCTGGCTTCCCAAGTCCCCTGTTATGCTCTCTCCATACCAACCCAGGCTGTTTCCTTCTATTCTACTTGGCCACTTTGCTGGCTGTCCTTTAGATCTTTCTGTTCAGGCGTTTACCATCACGTGGGTTCCCTTGCACAATACCAGACCAAACCCCACAGTGTTTTTCTGAATTAGAGCAGATCTCATCTTAAACTTTTCCACAAGAAGTATTGATGTGGCTACTTAAAATAAAAATGGGTTTGTAAGAAACCCCAGTCAGGGTCAGAATCATGACTCAGAGCTGCAAATCTGGTAAACCCTTTACGAGACACTCATTCATGTTTTAGTACAGGGGTAGATACTTGGGGCCAGTGCCATGGCTCACTTGGTTAATCCTCCACCTGCTGCGCTGGCATCCCATATGGGTGCCGGGTTCTAGTCCCGGTTGCTCCTCTTCCAGTTGACCTCTCTGCTGTGGTGGGGAAGGCAGTGGAGGATGGCCCAGGTACTTGGGCACCTGCACCTGCATGGGAGACTAGGAAGAAATTCCTGGCTCCTGACTTCAGATCAGCACAGTGCTGGCAGTTGTGGCCATTTGAGGAGTGACCTTTCTCTCTGTCTCTCCCTCTCACTGTCTATAACTCTACCTGTCAAATAAATTTTTTAAAAAAGTAAAAAAAAAAAAAAAAACAGGAGTAGATACTTTAGTTCTTGTAGGTGGACACAACCTCTGCCTTAACCACTCAACTACTCTGTCTGCAGTGTGAAGATAGCAGTACAGCAAATGTAAACAAATGGATTATTAAAAAAATACTTGTAGAAACAAGTGGCAGGTGGAATATGGCTCTCAGGAAGTCATTTGCTGACCTCTTTCTAGAAGAAGAGTAAAAACAAGTGAGGGTCTTTCTTTTGGGTAGCAAAGGACAACACAAAGTCATTTAGATCAGCCTCCCATCTTTCCTGGGAAGTTCAACCTCTGCCTTCAAGATAACATGGACCCGAGGCATAGATTTTCAGCTGAGAAGTCATTGCCATGGGAATCTGGGCTGTGACCATCTGAGATAGGTATTTTGGTTAATGAAGAAAAGATAATGAAACCTTTTCTTCCCTTTGTTGGAGATTCACCAAGAGAAGAGGCCATTGGTCTCATTCTCCTGTGACTGCTTGGACTGGCAGGAGGCTCACCTATTAGGATCAAACTCCTAAGTGCCAGGCCTGCTCTCATTTTATCCTGACATCAAGTCTATGGTGCATGAGAGGACTTCCAAAAGTTCATGGGAAAATGTAATTTTTTTTTTTTTTGACAGGCAGAGTGGACAGTGAGAGAGAGAGACAGAGAGAAAGGTCTTCCTTTGCCATTGGTTCACCCTCCAATGGCCGCTGCAGCAGGCGCACCGCGCTGATCCAATGGCAGGAGCCAGGTACTTCTCCTGGTCTCCCATGGGGTGCAGGGCCCAAGCACTTGGGCCATCCTCCACTGCACTCCCGGGCCACAGCAGAGAGCTGGCCTGGAAGAGGGGCAACCGAGACAGAATCGGCGCCCCGACCGGGACTAGAACCCGGTGTGCTGGCGCCTCAAGGCGGAGGATTAGCCTAGTGAGCTGTGGCGCCGGCCCGGGAAAATGGAATTTAAAATGAGTTTATTTTACAAGAAAACAATTTCTATTCCTAATACATAGAAAATGATAGAAAATGTGTCTTATGAAAAACAATGCAGGGGCCAGCACTGTGGCGCAGCAGGTTAATGCCCTGGCCTGAGGCGCTGGCATCCCATATGGGCACCGGTTCTAGTCCTGGCTGTTCCTCTTCCGATCCAGCTCTCTGCTGTGGCCTGGGATAGCAGTAGAAGATGGCCCAAGTCCTTGGGCACCTGCACCCATGTGGGAGACCCAGAAGAAGCTCCTGGCCCCTGGCTTTAGATCAGCGCAGCTCCAGCCGTTGCAGCCATCTGGGGAGTAAGCCATTGGATGGAAGACCACTCTCTCTCTCTCCCTGCATAACTCTGACTTTTGAATAAATAAATAAATCTTAAAAAAAAGAAAAACAATGCAAACTTTTTCTTTCACCAATATAAACTCATATTTTAATGCTAACTTCTTTCTTGCACCAATATGAACACATATTTTAATTCCTTTTTCCCATGAATGTTTTGAAGAACCTTGTGTAAGCACACATCATATCCACAATACAGATAGGAGAAATATATTAGGTCTTAGTCAACATTAGCCACTGATCTATAGACAAGGTCTTGGAGCTATACATAGGTGTGTTTTGGGAATAGGACCCTCCTTGACAAGAGTTGTTCTTTCAATGTGGATGTGGTAAAATAATGAGAGGATCTTATTTCCTCTAGTCCTCATAATGACCTTTCAAAAGGCTTATCTTTTTCCATTTTATCCATGGAAAAATAAGCTCTAAGGGGTAAGAAGCTTACTCAGGTTTGCTCCTTCAGAGAACTCAAAGTCAGGATTCAAACTCAAGCCAACCTGACTCCACCAACCACTGGCCCATTCCTTTGAGCCCCTCTACTTCTTGAGTAATCCTGAAAAATAAGGTTGAATGTGTTTTAAAATCCCCCAGACATCTGCTCTGTGTGAAGTGAGGAATTCTGTTAGCATCATGGGATCTGGTATCCCCAAGGAGATCCTCAGAGAATCAGAGAGGCAAATTTATGCCTGTAGGGTTTTTTTTTTTTTTTTTTTTTTTGAGAGGCAGAGTGGACAGTGAGAGAGAGAGACAGAGAGAAAGGTCTTCCTTTGCCGTTGGTTCACCCTCCAATGGCCGCCGCAGCCGGCGTGCTGTGGCCGGTGCACCGTGCTGAGCCAGGTACTTCTCCTGGTCTCCCATGGGGTGCAGGGCCCAAGCACTTGGGCCATCCTCCACTGCACTCCCGGGCCACAGCAGAGAGCTGGCCTGGAAGAGGAGCAACCGGGACAGAATCCAGCGCCCCAACCGGGACTAGAACCCCGTGTGCCCATGCCGCAATGCGGAGGATTAGCCTAGTGAGCCACGGTGCCAACCATGCCTGTAGTTTGAGACCTGGTCCTACGCAAAAACAGTAGAAGTGGGTGTGGCCCTTGTCTGTCACCAGAAACCCAGGTCTGGCTGCACCTCCTGATCTAAACTTCGAAAGTAGCTTCTCATGGTGAGGACGCTTCCGTCATGCACAGCGTGGAGGTGCCCAGGCAGAGGGAGGCATGTTCTTACCAGCCTGTCATATTAAAGTCCCTGTAGAGCATCTTCTTTCCAAGTTCCTTTCTCTGTACTCTCCTTGGAAACTCCAAATGTGTGAACTCATTTCCCAGCAAGTGAGGCTGCATGAATGCCTAATAGCGAAAAGAAAAAAAATAAACACAAACAAAAAAACCACACATATATTTAGAGGGAAAAAATAATAATGAAGGGTGTTTTGCAAATTGCGACAGGCCGTATTTCAAAACCAAGAAAATCGTCTCATATTTTAAGAGAAATCGATTTCAGAACCCAAACACTCATAGAAGAAAATTAAAATATTGCAGTTAACCTATCAAGCTTCTCATTAGCGTTAGCTGTAATTAAGGACAGGTATAGCTAAAGTCAGGAGACGATGCTGAGCCAATGCGAAGGTTCTCTGTTTATTTCAAATCCAAGATGCTTTCACTGTTCCCAAGGACTTGCTGGTGACATGCAAGGGGGCAGCTCACCCCGATTCTCCCCCTCTTGGCTTTCTCTGCTCTCATTTCAAGCACACTCCTAGTTACCATGACCTTGCCTTTGAAGGCTGCACGTGGGTCTCCACAGACACCATGGCCTGAGAATGCGGGCTGGGGCTGGAGACACCAGACAGGAATGTTTGGCTGGATTCTCTCCCGTGTGCTCTGCAGTCATTTGATTGTGTCATTGGAAGATGATTCCGGAGCAGATGGCTTCTCCCCTTCCCCCAATCTCTGTTCATACTACAGAAGTCTTGAGCAAACAGCCACTTAGGGAATTGCTTTCAAACAACAAACAGTCTCATTGTCACACTCAAAATTCACATCTAGCTATCGGAGAGGTGGAATAATCATGTTTTAAATTCCTAGCTCAGGGACCACACTTCTTGACTATATCTGCATGAGAACCTCCCCTCATCCAGCCCTATGTCAGCTTCTTAGCAGCATGCTCGAATACATCCTCTCTCGGCTTTGGCAGGGAAGGGAGTGGGCAGAGCAAATCATGGCCTGGCACCGTAGGAAGACAAGGAATCTTTGCCATAGGACAGATGGCCATGTCCTCAGTTTACTGGTCCAGGTGGAGTGTCCCGTATCCAAAATGCTTGGGACCAGAAGTACATTTGATTTCAGAATATTTGTACATATCTTGGGAAAGGGACTCAAGTCTAAACACAAAATTCGCTAGTTTCACATATACCCTATGCACACACCCTGAAGGTAATTTTATATAACATTTTTAGTATGCCTACATTTTGACTGGGACAGGAGGTCAGGAGTGGAATTTTCCACTTGTGCTCTAACAGTGCTCGAAACGCTTTAGGGTCTGGAGCATTGTGGATTTTGCATTTTTGAATTGGAGATGCTCCACCTGTAACAGGCAGCCCCTACAAGCTCTCCCCCAAAGGCCCAGCATGGGCAGCTTTCACACAGAGGCTCAGGGCAGCTCAGAGGCACTGAACATCGTCTGAAGCTGAGTTTCCCGGGAGCCCAAGGGAACAAGCAAGCTGACTGTCACCAACCTGGTCACACTGGGCCAGACATGGCACTCTGTACCAGGAGTTCTGAAGAGGCGTGGGGACAGCACAAGAGGACTGAGGGTGAGAAGAGGACATGTATCTTCCTGTCGGCTGTGGCCACACCACATGCCAGCGTGCAGGGAATGCGGGACAACCTCCTGCAGGGAGCAAAGCTTTGGGCTGCTGCTGAGTATCAGGAAAACTTAAATCCTGGATTGCACAGAGACGTTCCCTTGGGAAGAGGGGAAGGGACCTCTCTACAGGGCTGGTCAGTGGTGTGCAGACAGACGTGAGTCTGGATCCATGCTCTGCCTTTTTCCTGTGACTTTAGGGGGCGATTTAATTTCTTGGGCCTCAGTTTATCTCTAAAATGAGGTTAATCACATATTTATCTCACACTACTGCTGTTGTAATTAAATGAAACATCTCTAATGTGCTTATGGTTGTCTCTGCTCATAAAAATATCACCATTCTACCCATTTATGAATAGCACACAGCACCTTGTGAGTTCTCACTTCATCCTCCCACAAGCTCATCAGGGGAATGGATACTCAGTTTGCGGGCTCCCCTGCAGAACAAACACAGGAAGCCTCTACTCAGGACTGAGGGTTTTTAAGACTGTGACAGCAGAGCACTAAATGAAGCTCAAGGCTCTGTGTGTGACTGCACAGGTCACACCCGCAGGAATCCGGCTGCGTGGGAGTTGATGCTGTTTTAGTACTCCTTTACTTTGGTTCCCCCATGAAGAGGACCGAGACACAAGGAGTCAATAAACAGAAGCACCTGTTATATTGTATTTCAGAACCTTGAGACTATCAGCATGGAGTTACTGTCCACTCCCAGCCAAGTTGTACTAACACTGATTTACGACTTAGCAAGTACCAGCCCTATCCAACACATTCGATACACCTTGCACTGCTCTCTCAACAATGTTACACAGCATGTGTCATAGACTCAATTTACTAAGAAGAAACCAACTTCCCAGAGTGGTTAAAACATCTTGCTCAAGATCATCATCTGGGACTGGGTGCTGACAGAGCCCAAGATAAATATCATGCTTATAACCCCTATCCTAACCTTATGTGGGCCCTTGAACTCCACATACTGGTGAAGCTGCCACCAAAGGCCCGTGATCTTTTACTTGTAGACCTCACACAGTCCAAATCAGCAGACACAGTTAAAAAAAAAAAGCACAGATCTGCATACAGAGTGGCCACAAGGTAACCACTGATGTTACTTACAACATAAAATAACTAGGACAAATCATTTAATAACTGAGCAATGAAATAAGCTAACATGAATACACACAAAAGAACTCTATCCTGCCCCCAACAATGATGCTATAGAGAGTATGCAATGATACAGATGATTTACTGTAAAAAGCAAGGCATCAAACAACGTGTGTGTCACATCATGCATACACAATCTGTATATAAGGTATTCATATGTGTATGTAAATTAGTGTGTGCTCGGAATGTGTCCTCCAAAAACCCTGACTTGGAAACTCTATCCCCAGTGCAACAGTGTTGCTAGGTGAGGTCTTTGGGGGAGGAGTCTGGGTCATGGGGTTCTGTCTTCATGAACTGAAGAATACTGCTATCAAAGGGGTTGGTGTGAGTGGGTTTGCTCTCTCTTGCCGGCTGCATTCCACAACGTGAGGGTAAAGCAAGGTCCCTGCCACAAACCGGTCCCTTGATCCTGGCCTTCCCATTCCCCAGAGCTGTAAGAAGTAAGTTGCCATTTTTTTTAAAAATAATTGCCCAGTCTGCGGTGTTCTGTAATAGCAGAAGTCAGGCTAAGTGGCGCACACGTGTAAATGTAGATATACGGACACACTCACGTTATAAACAGGTTAGGCTCTAAAGGACATTCCTGAGCATTTTCTTCACTAATCCTATGACTAAGGGTGACAGTGTTCAGGACACGCTACCCCCAAATATAGCCCCTATTGAAGGAAACAGCAGAAGTAGGCCATAGGGGCTAGAAAAAATTCCCTGTATCCCTTTCCTCCTAAGTGGGCCATGATCCCTGACTTTCTCCTGAAAATAGGTCATAGGACTCTTATTCCAGGGCTGGCATTGTGGCATCCTGTGTTAAGATACTGCCCGCAGTTCTAGCATCCCACATGGGCACTGGTTCAAGTCCCAGTTGCTCCACTTCCAATCCAGCTCCCTGTTAATGTGCCTGGGAAAGCAACACAGAATAGTCCAAGTGCCTGGGCCCCTGCAACCATGTGGGAAGCCTGGAAGAAGTTCCTGGCTCCTGGCTTTGGCTTGGCCTAGCCCTGGCGGTTGTAGCCATCAGGGGAGTAAACCAATGGATGTCTCTCTCTCTCTCTCTCTGTCTCTCCCTCTTTCTATATAACTCTGCCTTTCAAACAAACAAAATAAATCTTAAAAAAAAAAAAAGCCTCTTATTCCAGAGGTGTCCTGCCCTCCACCCAGAAGAACGGAATGTCACGTTAAGGATGCCAAGAATCCCCAATCCACCCGGTTTATTGCTATTAGATCACATTCTGTTGTTCTGCAACCACATTTCTCCAGGACTGTCCAGAAAAACAGAATTTTCCTTGGGGCTGGTGCTATGGCTCAGTGGGTTAACGCCCTGGCCTGAAGCGCCGGCATCCCATATGGGTGCCAGTTTGAGACCTGGCTGGTCCACTTCTGATCCAGCCCTCTGCTATGGCCTGGGAAAGCAGTAGAGGATGGTCCAAACCCTTGGGCCCCTGCACCCACATGGGAGACCCAGAAGAAGCTCCTGGCTCCTGGCTTTGGATCGGCACAGCTCTGGCTGTTGTGGCAGATTGGGGAATGAACCATCAGATGGAAAACCTGTCTCTCTCTCTCTCTCTCTGCCTCTCCTCTCTCTGTGTTACTCTGACTTTCGAATAAATAAATAAATCTTTTTTTTTTTAAAGAATTTTCCTTGTTTCTTTGGGTCTTTATTTCTGAAAGCTCTGATGTCATGGCAAATTTTTATGGAATAACTTTGTAAGCTTTCTTCCTGTGTGTCCACTGTTGATCTTTTGTTCCTGGGGTCTCAGCCATTAAGTCAGCGATGGGTCTCTTCTCCCCTACAAGGATGAATGTACACAGCTCCAGATCCTCCGCTTCCCACGGGGAGGATGGAGTGCATCCCTTGGTGGCATTTTAACCGGGTACTCCCATGCCCGCTTGGGCGGGCACACATTTGTTTTGGCACGTGTATCAGATCTGTAGAAACAGTTGCCACAAGGTAGCTGGCAACTCCTCAGCTGCCTTCATATCTTCAGGAGTCGCCACGCCTCTCCCTCTGAGGACATGCAGGTTCAGCGAGTTTAAGGCCCCAGACTCCGCACCACTTGGAACATCTCTAGCCCCTTCATATGCAGGGCCTCTTCTGATCTCAACAAACTCTTTGCTTCTTCCCAGAACAATAGGGTGCTGTGTTCTATCAAATGTCAGGGGCATTTACTACAAGCACCATTATTTTATTACCTCTAAGAAAGAGAACCAATCTCTGCCAATTATACTACGAACAATGCCTTCCTTCCACATAAAATTTTCATGTTATTCTTTCTAGAAGTGCTTTAGACAAATTTTTATTATCTACCACTGTCGTGTATATTTAATAAGGGAT